TAAGGATCATGAGTCCGGGCTGTGCTGATACTGCAGGATGCTGCCTCTAGGATCTACCTAAGGACACACTTAAAATAACACAAAAATAAACACTCCAGCACTGGAATCTGGTCTATGGCTCAATCCATAGCTGAACCAAAATAAAACTGAACTAGATTTTAAATGGTTTCTAAACTTGCAAATTTCCAAGAAAAACCCATCTGCATGGATCAGTCAGCCTTCCCTGTGACAAGCCCTCATGACATTCCTCACTGTAGCTTTGCCAAGGCTCTGCATGGATTATACAAAGTGCATAGAAATGAACAAAATTGCCCACTTATAGCTGTAGAACAGATTGCAGGATTGCCATATCCTAGCTACCTCTTAACAAATTGAGATCAAATGGAAGGCTGAATTTTTTTTCTGGTTGCCTCCAAAATGGAGGCAAATCTTATCAGTGAAATCTGTGTCTTCTTTATTAGGAAAAAAAAAAAAGTAATGGCAAGGATAAATCATGTGCAAACCACTTTTTCAAGTTTGATATTGCATTCTCTGCTGTTAGCAAGTTTGATAAATAAGTTGAGATATCCCCCTCCCCCTCTTGTTCATTAAAAATGTTCTTAAGTAACAGAGCAGGATTAGAGACTTATTCACCAAGACAGAGATAATTTGGCCACAAACGTTCATCCTGTCTCTTGTCCTACATAGCGACAAGATGCAAGATGACAATGCTGGAAAAGGCAGAGCTCAGTTTTTTCACACAAGCATGATACTAGGAAATAACTCATCAATTCAGAAGTTTGCTATGGTTAACACCTCAGTTAAATATGAACCTGGTGCTTTGAAGGACTGAGTGTTTTGCCTGATAGCTGCCTGGTAGCTGGTAGTCAAAGCTTACTTCTGAGACCACAATTTACACTGGTACTGGCTCTCATTGCCAAGGACACACATCAAAATGTCCCTCCTTTCAAAATATAGTACTTTAATTCCACCCTTCCCACTTGATGACATTCAGAGATGTCTTCCCCTCACAACTATGAAAATTTATGGGCAGCAAAAGTGTCACAACAAGGCAAAGGCCATTTACGTTAGCCAAAAAAAAAAACAAAACAAAACAGCCATGTGAACCACAATCCTTCTCATACGTAATTTGCATCCTCTTCCTGGTCTCACCCTGTTTTTCCTTATCTTGACTCAACAAACACCACAATACATCTGCTCGGTAGTCAAACAGGCTCCAGTTAGAGCAAGAAATGGCCAGCTCCCATACAATGGGCAGGAGAGCAAAGCTGCATTTAATGGCAACCCAACTTAACACAGTGTGGCTGGGTACATCAGCATGATCTGCCCTGCCCAAGGGCTGGTGTGAAAATAAATAATCCCAACAGCTGCTCACACAAGCACTCCATAGATGACAGCTGACCAACTTCTTCAGGCCACTGGCTCCCTGCATACGTAGTTGAAGTAAATTTGAGAGGGAACAAGGAATTCAAAAGGCTATGGAAAGAACTGAGCAGGGCATGTAATTAGACAACTCTGAAAACCAGGGTTTTCAATTGATTCCATGGTAAAACAGCACTAAAATCCTACGCATCTCAAGCACCAGAAAGAAAGAGTAAAGTTCAGAAGAATTGGGAATATCAAGAACAAGATATAGCCTGTCTGGTAGCTTTAGATTGGTGAGTACGCAATACAGTATGCAGTGTTTTTGTACACTGCTGTATGCTGCCTGGATTCTTATTATTCATTCTGGAAAGGCTGCTGGTGACAACATTTGAAGTTCAAAAGTCTTGCATTTGTTTAATGCTTCAGGGACTTCTAATTGTGTGTGGTCTATGTTTCTGTTTTTACAGTAAGGAATACAAGAGCAAAGAATGCTTTTGCAGTGGCCTGTGCCCTGAAGAGTGACCAGGGAATCTGGCTGGATCGTTGTTCTTAGCTCCACTTTGAGGAAGAGTAAGATGTAACATAACAGAAGGCCTGGTATGTTATCTATCATGCAAGACCACTTGTTTTCTTTAGCATATATACTTTAAAATACTGACACATATGAAGTGCTCTGGCATCTGCTCAAGCTGCTAGATATTTAAGGAGAAGAATGTTGAAATTCACAAGGAATATGCAAAGGTATGAAAGCTCTGTTAACCGGCTCTTTAAAACAGAACACTGCTCCCAGTTATTCGGACTCAGAGAATAAATATCACTGGATACAGGAGGGAAATGCAGTTAGGCTATTTATCACCTCTCTTTCAGGTAATGAAAACAAACATTCAGATCCTGCAATTCCTTGCCAAAGTGTTTAGGCAGAAGCCCCGAAGACAAAGTCTACACTTCTGTGCTTTTGCACAGCACTTTGAAGAAGAGGTGTAAATGCCAATTAATGTTTTTTGAGTACTCCATCAATGCAAGCAACAACAACAGATACTTTGTTATGCTAAAGCCCCAAAGTGTTTCCAGTCTTTCAACATCAATCAACACAACTGAAGCCGGTAGTAAATTGATTCTCACATTCCACTGCTGCCGGTTTTTGTTAGAAATGATTTGTGATAGATACGGTGGAATATATTGATTAGTACTGACAGTCCCAGTTTCCCAGGCGCTTTGTAGCACTGTCATTCCAAACTGACCTGCTTTCCACCTTGTCAATTTTCTTCTGCGGCATCCGTTATAAATGTCCATTCTATTATGAGATAGCTTCTGTGCCCTCCAGAAAACAAAAGGGTCAGGCAAGTAAAATCAGCACAATAAAATAGGTTTACAGTGTTCCAAAAGAGTTTGTTTTTATTGAGAGATTTTTGTGTCAGGGGGAGAAAAGGCACAAAATAAGTTACAAAGACATTATATGAAGGTACACGTGTCAGAGGCAGTATCAGAGCTGTTACTAATCACCTAAAAGTGAGCTTTCCTCTACAAAAATCTTAAAATATTATATTTCAAATGATCAAAACCATTCAGAAATTAACTGAGAATAAAGATCACCGATATTTGCTTTTGATTAAATTCACCTGGGCTTAGCAATATCTCTTCCTCTATCTTGGAATAAATTCCTAATGTTACAGATTTTTAAAAAATTCATTTTATATATTATAAATTAAAAACCTGACGTTTACCCTTAGTACCACCAGTGAAGCACAGTACACATGGATAAGGCAGTATGCATAGGAAATGCATTACAAAAACAAAACAGATAAGTGCAATTACTCTGAATATTTCTACACTTGTTGCTATGGTCCCTTGCTTAGGGGAAAGAACATCTTGAAAAGAGATGGACCCAACAACTGTTCACAGAATGTACAGACATAACCCCATAAAAGGTCTATCATGGAAAAGCTCATGATGCCTTAACTGTGGCTTCTCAGATCAAGTATTCCAAGCAGAGACTTCTCATCAGTACAACTTTGAATTAACAACAGCGCACTGATACAATCAAACAAGTAACCTGACATTTATCAGTCTGTGTTTTAATGTTGGAAGGCTCGTAACAGTCAGTATTCAAGTCACCCCAAAAAATATTTAAAAATATGCACACCACTTATATACAATTTGATTCACTGCTGCAAACAAAAATCAATTCCCTGTACTGCCTCTTTTCTGTTACTCAGCTCTGAGCTAACCAGGACTTTACATCTACAAGATACAGAGACTGTAGAAAGATTTGATTTCATGGTGATGAAGGCTTAAGCAGAGAGAAGGAAGCTTACCCCTTTGGCTGTTCCTCTGGTCAAGTGGAAATCTAAGATCTGTCTTCTGAAATCAGTAAGAATACAAACATGTAACCAGACACAGAACTTGGCTATAAACGTCTGGTTATATCCTTAGGAGTTTCATTTATTTGACCTAAGACAATAGTAACACAGAAAGGGAATATAGTACCAAGTTTAGCTCGTAATAACTGTCAGCCCTTTAAGGACTCAATCTGAAAGAAAGCATTGTGGTTTCATGTATTAGGCACACCTGTCAAGAGTTTTGGTAGTGGAGGTCATCTAGGGTCCCATATAGCTGGTTGCCCTGGACCTTGTCCTGATGGCTTTTGAACACTGCCAAGGACTCAACAACCTCCCTGGTCAATCTGTGGCAGTGATAGGTTATCCTGGCATTAAAAAAAAAGGAAAAAAAAGAAAAAAGTGTTTCCCTACTTTCCTTATGCTTAGGCAGATCCTCTGTCTTTCAGTTTGGCCTGATTGCCATTTTGGACACTGGCCCATTTCATCCCAATGCTCCAGACAATCAGAGGAGGTTGTGGCACATCTGCATATTTAAAAGCATTTTTAAGAGAAAAAGACAATACTTACAGAAGGAGGAGGGAAAAAAAAAATAAGAGAAGACTATGCCAGCATAGGATGGGAGAGGGGTAGCAGCAGAGTAGAAGAAATGCCAAAAAAAGAACTGTGGCCCAAGCAGGGGCTGAGAGGATGAGACTTAGAAGGAGATGCAGCTCTAGAGGGCACTGAATCCAGTGAGGAAACCCACACAGTACAGCAGCTGAGTAAGAAATAAGGAGCAAGGAAAGACAGCTAGTATGATGTGCTGATCCCAGTCTCCTGAGCTACTCGTTGCCTTGCTGAAGGAACTAAGAGTAATATCCAGCCAAGGGACAGGAGACTGCCAATGTGGCAATGGAAGAGCATCCACAGAGAAGCAGCAGTGTTTTCCCCAGTTGTTTTTCTCCGCCTCAATACTAACAGCAATAAATAGAAGCTCTTTAATTGGCAATAAGTTAAATTCCCCAACTCAAACTTCCTTCCCCACAAATTATCCCCTCAACTGAGATTAGCACAAAATTAAAAGTTTCTTGCCTTTAATTTTTTGCCCTTAACAACAGTGCAAACAAGAGAACCGAGATTCTAAAGGTGCAATAATTCTGGTCCTCCAAAAGCATAAACATTTTAAGCTAATTTTAAAAAGACTTTAAATAAAACTTTAAAAAGCACAAGTTTTTTTCTGTTTAAATCATGGATTACTACATAAATTAAAAAAATGGAAATATTTAATATTATCTAAAACTCTATTAAATACAGAAGTGACAAAAAAGCTCAACATAAGGAGGTAGTAGCTTAAAAAATGAAAGTAGAATTAGATTCAAGAAGGAAAGTAGTGCAATAAATGCCTCCATATGAAAAATATATTCCTGGTTTCTACAAGACCTTCGTATTTTTAACAAGAACAGATGGAAAACTGGATTAAACTTTGGGGAGTGAGGTGAGTCTAGTACTGAAAAACAGTCATTTGGAGTCATACCTGACATCACAGAACTGCAATAAACTTTTTTACTACAAACTACTCAGCAGTTGTCAGTTCTACATTAGAAAGCTTTTAACTAGTTTGAAACAATGATTTTTTTTTCCCCTGCAAGCTGCTATCAGAAATGTCTGTTTCCAAGTCAAGTTTCCATCATTGTAAAATATTTTGTTTGAACATGGATGTAGTAGATACTTCTCCTGGAATACCTTTCAGAAAAAGATAACTGTTCAAGTATTGGCAAAGATGTTCTTACTGCCACATTTTTTTTGCCTACCTGCTGCAGCGGGTATAATACAAGCATCTCAGATGTGCTGGTGAGCATTAACTTGCATGTAAAAGATCTTTATTCTCTAACGGCTTCTGTAATTGAAGATGGGCAAGCAGTTGTTTAAATATACTCCATTCTATGAGCTTACTATATAATAGAAGATCCTGACACATCAGTTTTACTTCATTCTGCACATGCAGTAGAGAACGCAGTACTTCTAAAGCACTCTTCTGATGGTATCCCTCTCCTGCTGCACAAACATTTAGACACTTGCCCATTTGCTGGGAAAAAAGCTGCCACGATAGAGCTGACTAGCACTGCACTTTGTAGTTGTAGTAGGGAGCTGAACTACAGAAATTACTATTTAGCAATGCCTCAAACTGCACCTTTTATAAAAATCTGCTGTATCCTACAATGCTTGAGGCAAGCCATTACTGGCAGTGCTAATTTGTAAGGGTGATTACTGAACTACAATTCTAATGTGCAGTTTTTAGCCAGATTTTATCAGTCTTTGAGAGTAAGCTTTGGCATTTGCAATTCAGAAGCAAACAGGCTGTGCAGATTTCTAATTGACAAGAGATGCATACTCAGCTCTTCTACAAATCCTACATTTTGTTCTTTCAGAAAATGTCCTTTCAGCCTCTCAGGGAACTTACTCTACGTACCATACAAGAAAGGAAAATAAGCAGCTGAAAAATATGCTGGATCTTGGCAGCATGCTAATAATGCCAGGCTTACCACTGTTTGCTTTCAAGTAAGCAGGCTTTGTGTCTTCAAAAGTCATCAACAACAAAATATTTAAGTGAACTGAAAAAGGAAAAACAAGCAAAGGTAACTTTCTGTCCCCTAAAGCTCTGGAGATGCTTGTATGTACCAGTTTTGGCAGGCTGCATAGAGGAATTCCAAATGAATGCAGCTAGAACTAGTATTGGACCATTGCTTTCCAGCAAAAACAGTCTTTGGCACTTACATCATCCAGTTCTATGATGTTACTTTACACACAGTCCCATATCAAGTTGATTGAGGAAATTAAAAAGCCTTTCATAATACAGGCACTTACAATAAATTAGAGCAGAAAAAAAAAATCTATTCTCCGTTAGGAAACACAAGAGCTTTTTTTCCAGGATGGCAGGAGCTAGTAGTACCAAAATACAGATGAGAAAGTTCAGTAAATTCAGACTGTCAGGGTGAAAATTCTGCACACCTCTGTTAGACTGAAATAACTGTAGCACCTGGATAATCTGGTTAAGGTTAACATAGATTGGACAAGGCATTAAGAAGACATGGCATGGAAACTTCTGTGTAAGTTTGTTGACACTCCAATTCTATGCTCAGATGTCACAAGTTTTCTTTCCTTCACTTAATACATCTTGCAACAAGATACAAGCAATGAGACTCAAAATACACCTATAAATAACTGTCCTGTTTGGTAAACAGCTGCATATAGACATTTCTGACACAGGCGTTGCGTATATCATGCCAGACTGGCTTCTACCATCAAATAACAGTACTGCTGCTCATGAGCTCTTCAGACATATTTACCACCATGCTCACAAATTGCATGCACAGATGCCTAGATTCAGCTATATGTCAGAGAGCATGATTAGAGGAAGCTCTAAGAGCAAGAAAGATAATCAGTATACCACCTATCAGCTGAAACAAAATATTCCTATATTTCTAAAATAAAGCACAGGAACTTATCAAACAAAAAATACATTTTCTTCACCCTTGTTTTTGAATTTTTTACATCTTTACATACAGTACAAAAGTGCATGAATGGAGAAGTTTGATAACAAGTTGAAGACTAATTAAAATCAAAGAACCACAAGAATTCAACTCAGGTTCTGCAAAGTAATCTCCCCACCTGAACTGTTACATTCTGTTCTTCCTACTGAGAACTATGTGGGCATGCTGTCCTGTGGCATGACTAGTGTTGCCAGTAGCAGATGACAACACACAAACTATGGACAAAGAATGGCTAACAGTTCCTGTCCTCTCAGCAAACTTACTCTACATACCATACAAGAAAGGAAAATAAGCAGCTAAAAAATATGCTGGATCTTAGCAGCATGCTAATAATGCCAGGCTTACCACTGTTTGCTTTCATGTAAGCAGGCTTTATGTCTTCAAAAGTCATCAACAACAAAACCAAACCTGACACTTTTCCAACTATCCATAATTCAGAGTGTGAATACAGAACTAAAAATATCTTTGAATAAATATACTCAACATTCCATGCTTTTCCAAGTACCTTATTTAGAGAAATTTTCAAGCAGGCATAAGGGCCAAATATAGGCAGAAAAAATACCCAGCCAGGATTAAAATGCCCTGCTACAACAATGATGCAGCAGTCTGGAAGAAAAACTGAAGACACTTTTTCCACAGGACTTGAAGTTCCCTACTGTGCTCACAGCCAACATCTGAATCAAATTCAGATCAAGTAGGAGTACTACATGCTTCAATCTGTAGCCTCTGGGCTGCCTGCTGCACCAAGCAGAGCAGTTACACTTTCCTCAGTGCTACAGTTCCAATGAACAGAGGTCAAGCAGCTAGCTGTAAACCAGATACCGTTCAGTTTCACTTTCTTTCAGAGTAAATGAACTTCCCAGTTTAACTGGAATAAATTCAGCTGATAACTTTTTTTTTTTTAAATTCAATTTTCTAAATCTACTATTCACAAAAAAAAAAATGCCTTGGAAGGTCGACAGCTCTTTTCACTTTGTTAGTGACTTCAAATGTAAAATCTAGCAAACAACTCATGGAAACCAATCTTAATAAATAGCAAGCAAGTGGTTAGAGGATGAAAGTTGAATCTTCCTAAGGCCTTATTTTTTAGTCACAACATTGCACTTGTTCATATGTCAAGATTTTGTATCCTTCTAACTAAACAAAGTGTAGTGTAAACTAAAGAATGAAGTTGTCTTCCTCAACAAAGTCAAGTAATCCAGTAAACACTGACTTAAAGAGTTTAAGAGCATCACCTAACAAAAGAATTTTAAACAGATATTAGCAGTTTTCTGGCAATAATCCTACAAAATGTAACAGCAGCCCATGGCTCCTCTTGTCACTTAAGCATTAATTTTCTTCCACAAATAAAGATGCAGATGATAGGTCCATAGAAATGAGCTAAATACCCTAAAAACACACTTCACATTACACAGTATGTGATAAAGACCTCACCTGTGTACCACTCATGAAATCACATCCTTAAACGGAGTTACTTCACCGCACAGGCAGAGAAGTCGCTAAGCTTTAATAGTTATAGAAAAGTGAAGACAAAGTAAAAGTAGGCAAAGCTACAAACAGCAGTTCTGAGATGTGGGAAATGTGTCAATCTGTGCATAAGGCAGCCCAAGAGAATGTTTGGTGGACAGAGGAGAGAGAAATCATCAGCAACATCCTCTATATCTACAGATGTTATGGACTCTTCCCAGCTTTTCATCATCACAAAGTTCATGGATAGGCCATGAACTGGTCAGCTGTACCCTGTAATTCTACAAAGGTGTCCACATGCTGCAGGAGAAACCTTGTGTTCATAGTTGCCTCTCCCACACTCAATATGTAAAAGCCATTTTAACATAAAATTTCATAAGTTTGTTCCTCCTGGGGTAGCACACGAAATATGTGACCACTTTCATTCCACAGAAATAAAAAAGCGAACATTTTCAAGTTCATCATTTAGGATGACTCAAAACCAACCACCCTGAAAATACAAATGCATGCACCGATGATCTGCACAAATAGTTGATAATTTTCTGTTTCAGAAATGCATCATCCTTCCCTTGCTATCATTCAAATGCAGTCTGTGCATTCTCTCTCATTCCTACCCACAACTATTTGAATGGCTGTCTCACATGAAAAGAAACAGTAGTGTAATTAATCTTAACAGTATTTATACTCCCTTCCTACTCAGGAAAGACACAGGCACTTGCCCAATTACATTCCCTGATAGGTGGTTTCCAGTACTCTCATCTCAGAGCTGGACTGACTGGACAAGTAAGGGAAAAAAAAAAAAATCAGAGAACAAGTCTGTGTTTCTTCTTTTCATTACTTGATCATATGGGTCTCTTCATTAGCATCATAGAACTCCTCATCTTCGCTTCCACTTCCTGCAGAATTGTCTTTGTCTCCAGACTAGAAAGAAAAATGAAGCAATTGGTTAACATAGAAGTCATCAAATAAATCTCAAAATAAATGAACACAAAGCACTCTACATCTATTAGGTTGGTAGAGAAAAGGCAAGTCAAAACACTGTTAATGCCTTGGGAATCTAGATTTGTTTGTACTTTTAACTCTTCAAAATTTCTTGGAAAGAGTTGGGCTTATACTGGATGGATTTTCCTAGTTCTATCACTATACCAGAAAAATCCATGCATGAGAAAAAATGGCTAGGATGGTTCTGAAGTGGTAGTCTACTCAGCTTTCTTCATTTAAGCCTAAGGACCCTACTCTTCTGTGAGCAACCGGAGACAGAGCTTCAGAACACAAAGATCATTTGATTAGGTAAAAGTTTCTGCATTCTAAATTATTACTTCTTCATTTTTCTGTGCAAGTTACATTTTAAAAGATCCCTCTCTGATACTAAAACAAAGGTGTTACAGAAAAGGAAAAACATAGCAAGTTTGTATGGGCAGAAAATAAACTCTCTGACAGGCATATTTACTCCAGCTGGAGTCCTTTCAATAGCATAATTCATATCACATACCCAAACTAAAATCAACTATTAAAATTAATTGATTTTTATTTTGCCAGTGTGGCATTTTTCCACTGAACCAGTATGAGCTATCCAAGTAATAATTAGTCTACTGCTAGCAGATCCCATTTAGTTTAAATGAATATTTAAGATTTTTTCCAGTATGCTTACATCTATTTTAAGGCTTCTGGCTGACTAATCATATGCAAAGAAGGGTGAGAAAGAAGGTGAAAAACATAAATGGAAATCATACTCCTGAATGACAGAACCACACAAGCAAAGTCTGTAGCTTAAAATCTGTCTTCAGTGGAATTTTGCTATGGCAATGTGTGTAACTGCAAAAGAATTTCAAACAGTTTGAGGACTAGAAACTGTCAGAAGATATAAAGGGAATCACGTTATGCTTTTTTATTTCTAAAATTATTTGAGGAGAATCAGACTATCGCTGGATGCCACCCAACTTGAACATCACATTTGTGTACGTTAACAGGGACAAAACCTCCGCTCTGGGCATCTAGAATGCATGTTATCCTTAAAGTGGTACAAAAGGACAGTGGATTCCACAGGGGAAATTCAGGGTATGCCAAATAAACTCTATTGCTTTCTTATAACAGCTTCACAGACCTTGCCGTGGCCTTGTCAAATAGGGTTAATGTTTAACAGCTTTCCAATTATATATATATATATAATATATATAATTTTTATTTTTATTTTATATTTATATATATATAATTTTTATATTATTTTATATATACTATTTATATGTATATAAATGAAAATAAATGATCTTGTTCAGGTTGGGATTTTTAGAAGGCCTGAAGAAATGCAAGGACAGAAAACTTAAACTTGAGAAAACTGTTTGAGGAAAGTGAATCCAGTTGCATGCATATTTATAGATGTACATCACCCCCAAATGGTGATGCTGACCTCATTAGGCTAGAAGGGCAAAAATGATGATTTCCCCCTCCTCTGAATTAAAACAACTGTACTGCTTGCTAGAATCACTTTCTTTTAGTAAGCCATCTAGGTTAAAATGTAATAATGATGTAATTACCAAAATAACAGCTGGTACAAACTTGACATCAATGCATGATTGGACTTGATGATCTCTGGAGGTCCCTTCCAACCCCTACGATTCTGTGTGATTCTGTGATTCATATGATAGGCTTGTTTTGCTAGCAAGAATTCTCCTTAACATCTAAGACTTCCCAGAAATTTCAATGGCCAGCTGTATATGAAGCATATCACAGCAATCTGTCTTAGAGATTAGGGAGACACAGATATCACCAAGTCCTTCACCCACCCCAAAAAAAGCTTTTGACCCTGAAGGGATAAATTAACCCAGTTATGTTTCAGCCTGCATTTCCATTCAGATGGGATAATAAGGTTACTGAACTATCTTGTGCATCTCCTTAGGACCTATTCTCCACAGGCCAAAAATTGCTATCCTAGAGAATTCAGAGTGGGATATGCAAGTTGATAGTTGAAATGCTAGGGAAAGCAATTAATTAATAATAATAAAATACCTGCGAGCCATCTAGGGTTTGCAATGACATGGCTTCATCCCCCAGTCTCCAGTATGAGACTATCTGTAGGTCTGAAATAGTTTCTAGCAGAGGGCTGTTCAAGGTTTCAGGCAACAATAAGCTTAAGAGCCCAGACAATAAACCAGTTGCTCCAAATACAATGTAAGGCAGAGACCACTGCACAGATTTCTAGAAACAAAAACAGAGAGAGAGCGATTAGTAGAAAGTAGATTGGTTCCACTTACTGCATGCTGCATATTCAAACAGTTAATCTTTACAATCATTCCAAGTAGCAATTTTCAAGAATATAATGAACTCATACCCTTGAAACTTTTATGCTCATATTCAACTTACAATACCTGAATGTTAGCCCTCAATAAGCCCTTACTGCAAAAAAAAAAAAAAAAAAAGCCTAATAGTATCCTGAATAGCAAAAGATGAATCTCGCCCTCTACTCAACACTGGTGAGGCCATGACTGGAGTTCTGCATCCAATTTTGGGCTGTCCAGCACAAGAGACATGGACATACTAGAGAGAATCCAACAAAGAGACCTAAAAGTGATAATGGGACTGGAGCATCTCACATAAGAGAAGGCTGAGACAGCTGGACCTATTTAGGCTAGAGAAGGTACAAGAGGATTTTATCAACACATCTGGGCTACTCCAAAAGTAATGTCTCCTATTTTATTACACTGGCCCATAGCATCAGAATCACAGAATGGCCCAGATTGGAAGGGACCTCAAGGATCATGAATCTCCAACCCCCCTACCACAGGCAGGGCCACCAACCTCCCCATTTAATGCTAGACCAGGCTGCCCAGGGCCCCATCCAACCTGGCCTTGAACACCTCCATGAATGGGGCATCCACAACCTCTCTGGGCAGCCTGTTGCAGCACCTCACCACTCTCATAGTAAAGAACTTCCCCCGACATCCTAAATCTTCCCTCCCTCAACTTAAAACCATTTCCCCTTGTCCTGCTGTTATCTACCCTTTCAAATAATTGACTCCCCTTCTGTTTGTAGGCTCCCTTTAGGTACTGAAAGGCTGCAATGAGGTCACCCTGCAGCCTTCTTTTCTCCAGGCTGAACAAGCCCAGCTCCCTCAGCTTGTCCTCATAGGGGAGGTGCTCCAGTCCCCTGATCATCTTTGTGGCTCTCCTCTGGACCCTCTCCAACAGCTCTCTGTCTTTCTTGTACTGGGGGCTCCAGACGTGGACACAGCACTCCAGATGGGGCCTCACAAGAGCAGAGAAGCAGGTGTTGATTGTATAGCAATAGAAGTTGAACCTTCCTGCCACTATTCTGTTACATTTTGCTGCTGTTGGCAGCAGAGGGGCAGTCTGACAAAGTGGCATCTGACATGAAAGGCAAATGAAGCAAAGGGATGTCACTGAATTCTTCCACGCAGGAAAGAAATGCACCCACTGACATTCATCAACACTTGATGAACATTTATGGAGATCAAACAATAGATGTGAGCACAGTGAGGCAGTGGGTGTTGCATTTCAGCAGTGGCAACAGCGACGTGAATGACAAAGCATGTTCTGGATGGTCATACACAGCTGTCACACCACAAAAATGAAGAGCATCTCAATTGGCTCATCTGCATGAGCTGGCAGATTACAACCAGAGATCAGCTTACATAGCTGAACATCAGTACACTGGAAACAACAGCACAACACTGGAATATTGCAAAGTTCGTGTCTGGTTGGTCCCACAAATGCTCACACAAGAACAGAATGAACACCCGATGCAAGTTTGTCAGGAACTACTGAACAAATATGAGGTTGAAAGTGATGGATTCCTGGATTGCATCATAACTGGTGACAAGATGTAGTGTCACCACTATACACCAGAATCAAAATGGGAATCCATGGTGTGGCGACGTGTGAATTTCCCCACTGAAGTAGTAGTTCAAGCCCTCAGCACGTAAAGTGATGAACACTGTCTTTCAGAGTAGAAAAAGGATGATTCTCCAGGGTCTCCTGGAACTTGGACAAAACATCAGCTCTGATCACTACATTGCAATGCTGACTAAATTGAAGGCTCACACTTCCACAGTCAGGGCAGAGAAGACAGCCTTCCTCTCACAACACAAAAACACCAAGCTCCATAACAGTTTGATGACTACAGAACACATTGCCAGTCCTGACTGTACTGTCCTACCACACCCACCACATAGTCCAGATTTGGCACCTTCTGGCTCCATCTATTAGGGCCAGTGAAAGATGGGCAACTTTTTCCCAGCACTGACACTGCAGCTACGAAATAGTGGGTCACTTCTGCTGCTGCAGATTTTTCACAAACACAGCGTTCAGGCTCTTGTTCATTGCTGGCAAAAATGCAAAGATAATGGTGGTGACTACGTTGAAAAATTGTGCTTTGTAGCTGAGAATGTACTATATTTAATAGTGTTATTGTGCTCTTTGTATCTGTTGTTGTTTCCATGGAAATAAATAGGAGGCATTACTTTCAGAGTGGCATATAAATACATAAAGGAAAGGTGCAAAGATGAAACCAGGCTGTATCCAGTTGTGCCAAGTGACATGGCAAGCACAAATGGGCAAAAACAGAAACAGAGGAGGTACCCTCTGAGCACTGGGAAATACTTTTACTAGGAGAACAACCAAGTACCAGCACACACTGACCAGAGAGGGGATGAAGTCTCCAACTCCAATCAAAGATAACCCAAAGCTGTCCAGACACAATCCTAGGCAAATGGCTCTTGGTGACCCTGCTTTAGCCAAGGGCTAGGATGTGGGACAGATGGACCAGACAGCCTCCAGAGATCCTTCAACCTTAATCATTCTGTGCTTTACCTTTACTGTAAAAATTACCAAATTCATTCTCTCTTAGCAGTATTGTCAATTGTATTTGTTGTGATTTAAACCCATTAGGGAGCTAAGCACCACACCTGCTTGCTCATTCTCTTCAGGTAGGCTGGGGAGAGAATGAGAATAGTAAAATCATGAGAACACATGTTCAGTCATTTCCAAGAAACTAGAGGTTAACACATACAGTAGTTTCTGGGGAAGATACATGCCATCAGTCCAAATGACCCTTCACCTTCCTTCTCCTTTACTCCAGCTTTTATTTGCTGGGCATCATGTCATACAGTATGGGATATCCCTTTGGGCCAGATGTTCTGGCTTTGTTCCTTCCCAGTTCTTCGTGCACCCCAAGTCCCATTGCTGGCAGGGCAGCATGAAAAGCTGAAAGTCCTTGACTATGTAAGCAGTGCTTAGTAACAACTAAAACATCAGTGTTAACATCACCATTTTCATCTAGAATCCAAAATACAGAATCACAGAAGCCTGCATAAATAAAATTACCTCTAACCCAGACAAAAACTATGACAGCTTCTAGCAGTACTATCAAAGCCATAGAGATTTTGGAATGAACTTTAAAAGAAATGCCAGCTGAACTTGTACTCAATTCTTGCCCATAATACACTCTTTTAAATGAAATGTTACAATGCTTTGTAATAGGGAGATATATCACACAAAGACATGCTGACTGGAAGAAATCTCTAGATGTCATCTAGCCCAACCACCAACTCAAACCAGGGCTACAGCCAACACTAGACCATGTCAACCATAGCACTGTGTAGCCATTGAAAAAGTCCAAGGATGTAGATTTCTTCCATCTGAGAGGACCACTCCAGGGCTATATTGAACCTCTCAGACAAAAAAAAAAGTTTTATATACATCTTATTTGTAACCCTCAAATTGCAACCTGCGGCCACTAACACTTGCTGAACTATTTCACATAACTGGAACTTCGTCTCAGGCCAAATAAACACAACTCTTTCAGCTTTCACTTGAAACTATATGTTCTAGGTCCCTCATCGTCTCTGTTGCCTTGTTCTGGACCCTCTCCAGGTTTTTTCTATATCCTTCTAGAACTGAGAGACCATAAACTTGATCAGCAGATCATGCATGACATGGGCCTGATACAGCTCAGTGTGACATTTGCCTATTTTCAGTGAGGACACTGCTAGCTGTCATTTAACTTGTCATACAATTGCAACCCCTGCTCCTTGCTAGTTTCTAGTTTCAACTGAGCTTTGGCCTTCCTGCCATCACCCCGACAACCTAAGTGATGCTGACAGATCACTTTTAATGCCTGCTCCTCTTTACACGTTTTGTTAAAAGTAGAACTACACTTCATACAGCTGTGTGCAAAAATATGAATCATCTTCAATATAGCTCAAAAATGTATATATTCACTTTCAGAAGAATACTGAAGAATGCTTCTATTACAAAAAATACAGAAGTATAGCACGGTTTCAAAAACTCATTTTCTACAGTGAAAAAGCAATTCTAAATTGAAAAAGAAGAATGGGCTATGATTAAATACAAGAGAACATTTCATCTCTTAGCTCGGCAATTTCAGCAATGTACTTTTCCGCATTGCAACCCTTTGTATAAGATTCCCAGAAAAAAGCTACTGGAAAATACATTCAAGTAGTTTAAGGAATTCCAATGAAAACCTTAATTCTCCCCACAAATCAATGTTCGTTTGTTCTTTAAACAGAGCTATTTTGACATTCATTGGACCCTTTCAAAACATGATGATTAAATATTTGTCTCTTTCAGTGCCAAATGTCCATGACGTACAACATAATGGATGCCCCCACTGCTACATAAAAGCAGCCCATTAAATCTGCCTGGGAGATCTGTACCAGCTTTGGCTTTGCCCGTTGTTGCCCTGAAGACATTCTCACCTGCTCATCTATCCTTCTACCAGCCTTCTGCATGCCACGGTAAGATGGCTGATGGCACAGAGAAAAGTTATTCTGTATGAAATCCATGTCATATTAAAGGAATACTCACTTGACCTCACCAAGCACTTTGTGTCAGTAAAGAACCCTGCATTCTATTTTACCTACAAACATACAATGCCTATAAACATAAGAGAACAGTGCCATCTTCATGGTTTTTTCTTGAGAATTTCTCTTTGCCTTAACAGGCTGCTGTAAAATTTGTGCTCAGAAGCTTAAAGCTATCTCAGGTCTCCACAACTGTGTCTGCATTCACTGAAATACAAACCAGTTACTGACAATTATAATGCACAGATTCAGTGAAGTGCAGCAACAGTAAAATGAATTTCTACTCAAAAATATGAGTTCCTGAGAAGGGCACTGAGTTCTTATGCTTTATCATCTTGATGCAGTAAATCTTTTAAATACATTTTTAGTTACTGCTGGCTTATGGTTTAAATTTGGAACATCAATTTGTTTTGTTTTTTTCAAACGACAATATTGCTGAAATTCAAGGGCTAAATTCCAAAATCCCAAAGTATCTTCTGAGCTAAACACTGGCATTTTGTCTAATTTCAGATTATATCATAATACCTTTAGCCTATCATAACACTGCCAAGACACCTAATTCACAGATTATTTTCTATGCACAGTTTACCCAAATATTCCCACTTCTGCAAGCTTCTGAATCATCAAAACCACAGAACAAAACTGTACTTAAAATAGCGAGTTCAGACAAACCAATGAAGGGACAAAAGGAGCAATGATTCCACCAACACGGGAAAACATGGAGCAGGCACCCATTCCAACATTCCTAAGAAGAAACCAAAAATCATTAATTAGTCACATTTGCACATGGAAAACTAGAATTTTAAAGTGCAAGAAGCTGCAAGTGCAGGAAAGGGTTTTTTAAAAAAGACAACAAAGTCTCACTCATGATTCTGACCATATCAACTGGCAACAAAAAGTGAAATCTAAATGAAAACACCTGAAAAAAGGAATTAAATGATATGCTTTGTACTCTGAGAAAAGCACAAATCCACTGCACGTTTAGAATTCTAACATATGCGTACATTTAAAATGACAAAAAAATGATTTCAGACATTGCATCTCATCTCTTCCTAAAAATCTGGCTAAATTCCTTTATCCATATCAGCAGATTCACCCACACAGGAGAACAACTTTACAGGATATATTCAATGATGTCTAACCATTAACAGTGATACCTGGCAAACAAATGCATCTATTAAAAATTGCACCTGCATCATAGATGCCTTTATCTACTCAGTCACCACAAGCAAGGGAACTTCTGCCTTTGAAGCACCAAATTACTTTCACAAAGCTTACTGACTGGTTGCATCTTTAACATTGCTGGTTAAGGAAGGACAAATATCAGCGTTGTCTGGTTTATAAAGCACTGAGGAACCCACAGATGTTGTTCATGAAAACGTCAGCAATACTACTGTTATCCTCGTTAGTGGAGAGAGGGTTGTGAGAACACTAAGCACCCAAAAGGACTCTTTTACTATTATGGAGAATACAGTTACTTTGAAGGGAACATTGCACATTTGAGGGAGGTGGAGGTGAGGATAAGAGAAAGTTTAATACATACAAGACCATACAGGTAATCACTGTTTGTTAAGTGAAAATCTCAAATGAAAGGTAATAATAAAAAAAGTAAGAGAAGTAGAAGGTGATCAGGGAGAAGAACCAGAAAAATGAAAATCTTAAAATTAACTTGCATTACCTGATCACTGTGGGATAAAGTTCTGACGTGTAGATGTAGACAATGTTAAATGCAGCACTGATTGTCAGTTTTCCCAGCAAAGAAAGTGAGCGACTGTTCACCACTGCAAAAACTCCAGTATCTGATAGAAAAAAAAATGTGTCACTTAGGCTCTTTTGGCACCAGCCTTTCACTTGGAGAGATACCTACAAGTTGCATGTGTATTTACACTGACAGCTCATTTGGATAATGGAGATATCCCAGGAAACATCATTTCTTGGAATTACTTCAGAAACACTGGAAAGAAGTGACTGATTAAAGTTGAAGCATAGGACAGAATCCAAAGATGAGTTCAAACCCACATTTTTTCAACAAGATTTTCTTAAGATCCTAGGGAAATTGCTACTTATGGCTTAGCTTCTGTGGCTTTAAAGTACAAGCCTAATGCACTGACAACCAAAAATTCATAGGCTTTTGGATGAGTTTTGCAACTTCTTGCTAAGTATTCCAGAAACAAAAGGAAACACTTACCTTTCTTTTTAGGAAGAAACATGACAATAAGACAAGCCAATCCTCCCAGGAACAGAAATGCACTCAGTGTTCTCTTTCGACCAAACCTGATGTCCAAAAAAGGATAACCAATGAAGCTTCTACATTTACCTTGTCTCTATTTGCAGAAATATCAAATGCCATCTCCACAAATACCCCCTCTCCCACTGCTTTAAAAATTTTCTGCTGCTCTCAACAAAACGAGTACTGAGAAGTCTTCATGCTGTAGCTGACAATCTCAAGGATTTTTATTTCCTTCCCACTGTGTGCATGTGTGTAAAGCTTCAAAAGACATTTAGAAAAGAGATTGGAAAGTGAATTCCACAGAAAAAAGGAAGACAATGTCTGGAGTACAACAGCTCGGGAAAGGGATAAGAGTCAGAATCAACAGCTCTGTTCTTACACTTGTGCAGCAGCTGTAAAATGACATCACACAACAGTTTCAGCTGAATTTAGTTGCAGCATCTTTGACCTAACAGTTAGAATGGGAGTTACAAGACAGGTGGGAAGAACGCCATCTTGTGTCAGGATGGAGTCAGCACAGCGAGTTCTACTGACAATCGTCCTTATCTTCGAGCCATACTAGAAAAGTTACTGAGCAACAACTTAAACCTTATTAGAGGTGAAGATCTACCAGCAGCACTTTTAAATAAAAAAGCATTTCTCAAGAGAATATAATGAACTGGAAATATCAAAGCAGAAGGTTCCATACAATGTCTGTGGGCTGGGAGATACAATTTGAAAGAAACTAGTATTTTATAAAAAAAGAAAATGCTAAACACATTAATAGAATTTCATACTTACCATTTTTGGTTAATCAAGTAAATACAGATTGGGTATGCTGGAATTTCTATCAACCCTGATAGGGCTAAATTGGCATAAATGTTTCCACCTAAGTCACCCACATTAAGGGTAAGACCATAATAAACCAAGCTGCACACAAACCTGTAAAAGATAAGGAAAAAAAATAAAATCAGAGCTGCAACTTTGCCAGCCATATCAGAGCACTCATCTGGCACAATGTAGTATCAATTATATATAGTGCTTTAGATAGTAGGCCTAAAGTTTTTCTACCTTCCTCTAATTTCTACATCCTGGTCCAGTTCTAGCCATTTCCAGACTCTGATTTCACTTTTATTTTGTGACCCTGATTGAATTCTCTACAGAGAAGAAAGGAACATGTTGCCAATTCATTCTGGAGTAAATCAACAAGGCAATCTCCTAAATCTCATTTACAGAACAGAAAATTGACTGTCCTGCACTAAATATTTGGAAAAGCAACAGAAGTACAGACTTATGCTATCAGCTGAAAAAAAATGTCATTTGTTTTTTTCTTAATACCTCTTTCCCAAAAACGTGCATTATAAAAGCAACTGGATGAACAAAACAAAATAGGTACTTTTGGATAATTACATTTCTGCTAGTGACTAAAGGTAGTGTCATGGGTTCCTGCTCCATACTATAGCAACTGCTAGCACTGGCAACCTCAGGTAGCACTTTCTTTTCAGAAATACTCACAGTCATTAGATAAAGTAGGCCACCAACCTACTAACATGCTCCTAACACACAAAACACAAGAAGTAATCCAAGCGATGAGAAGTATGGATGCGTAGCATGGAACCCAAGAGGATGACAGCATGACTAATCTCAGCAGCTTTTGAAGGTCAGGAAGGAATATACAGTTCTCAACTGCTCTATGCCTCAAAAAGCACAAGTGAAACACAAAGATAAAATATCTCAGAACTAAATTGTAAAAATGGCTTAACATTAGAAACATACTGAAGAAATACTATAATAGGGATCCCTAAAAATAAAGGCTGAGACAACGTACAACATGCAGGATTAGCCAATTCTCAGCAGCACATTCCCTCTAAGAGTCAAAGCCTACAAAGTATTTCAAGTACCAGGTGAACATCATGATTAAGGTGCGTCCCAAGAGAACCCTGTATCGGAAGAGGTCCAAGAAACTGCCAGCCTCTCTGGGGCTCCTGTCAGCAGGGAGTTTTAATGAAAAAGTGTGCTTCTGCTTGCGGTTCTTCTTTGCAATGAGGTAGAGGGCATCTTCTGCTTCACTCAGCCTGCCTTGTGAATATAGCCAGCGGGGGGACTCTGGAATAAATCTGTAACACACACACTTTTATTTACATATAGAAATTATATATTGCAGACACAGTTTGAGGGCTTTTCTATTCTACAGTGCTGGGTTTGCCTATGGAAATAAGGCTGAAATATGTTTCAGCATAATCATAGAATCATAGAATCACTCAGGTTGGAAGGGACCTCAAGGATCATCAAGTCCAACCGCAGCCTAACCATAGTACCCTAACAATCCTCTGCTAAATCATATCTCTGAGCAAAGATAATTTCTCAAACAACCCTTCAGGTATAGAATGCATTTACTGAAACAGACAAAGTATGTTGGAAATAAAGGGAAAATAATTCATATGCAATTTAGGTAACAAAAAATTTTGTGTGCATGTATACACACATATATACACACAACAGTATCAATTACAGTATCATTAGGATTCTTCCTAGTGGAGTTCAGAATCAAAGATGCTCCACATAATTAAAAGTAAAATGTTTTCAGAATGTTTACTAGCTGTCTTCTGTTCCTCATGTTCCAACTTTTCCCTTTTTATAATTAATAATAAGTACAGTAATCATCCTTATAATTCTCTGTTGTAGATAGCAAGGCTGTGCAAAAAATCATGCTCTTGTACTTCACATACTGCATTCACTCACTGGGTCTGTAACTCCAGTACATCCTAGAAAACAAATCTATTCTTTTCAGATTCCCAGAACTAATTTAAACTTCTGCACAGAAACAAAGTCTTAAAAAGGTTCTGGCAAAAGGCTGAAGTGACATTTTCCTGGAGCAAGTGTTTCTGTGCGTTTGTAAAAGAAGAGTTTAGAAAATAATGTTTCCTTCCCCATAATAATAAAAAAAATCTGCTAACTTTTCCTACAAATAGTCATTTGTAAGTAGTGTAGGTGGGAGGCACTGTGAAATCTGGGATGAAAAATCCTTACTTACAGTAAAATGGGCCTCTGAGCACAGCTCTGACGTCCCAAGCACAAAATGCTTCAAAAAAATTGAACAGGTTATCTGAACGTTAGAATAAATAGCAAAAGGCCCCAAGTATCACTGTTTAAAGTTTTGAAACATTAGAAATGTCAAAAACACCTTTCATCTCATAAACAGCCTTTAACGTCTTTCCCTGTGTTATGATGCTTTCTTTGAAAGGCTGTTTTGACTTTAGCAAGAAGGTAGTTACCAAAGTTGAACAGATATTGGAAGGAAAAGGCCTTAAATTGGAACTGCAGCTAAACTTCAGTTCTTATCAGTTGCTGAGGTTTTTGTTGAGAAAGAAAGATATGACAAAGGAAGAAAACACTGCACCACTGCACCTCATACCTTTCAGTGCTGAACTCCACAAACAAAAATCCTAACTACCTTAATAAAGAAGCCTTCTTCCAATTCTTTCCTAATCAGAATATTTGAAAAAATTAAAGGAAGCTGCCCATTTGCATGTCACCTTTAAGACTGTGCAAACAATTTTGATGCAGAATTCTAAGAGAAATATGTTATCACATAAGCACATTTCTGTATCTTTTATGACGTGTTACACAGTATCTTCTAGCATACCAGAGGACAGTTTGAAGAATCTAATACATAACAGTGAAGGAATAGGATGTACACCACCTCAAGACTATCCCAATTTACAGTAATAATGCATATACAATGCAGCATACACTTGCATTTCTAGATATTGCAGCACTGCAATTTGAAGTAAGCACATAACACGAGGTGGTTGAAGTTGAGAAAAATATTTTAGTTACAGCACTTCATACCAGCCTAGAGAAGCTCCTTGACCTATTTGTATTTTCTCTCATTACTGATATCTTCCTCGAAGTTCAGTTTGAAAAACTACTTACAGAGAGAGAAGAAAGACTATTGTTCCTTCCAGGTTAACCACAACAGCCAGAGTTCTCCAGGAGCGAATGAAGTACCCTAATAAAGCATATTGGGCAATTCCCACAGCAAAGAACAAGCCACCAATAGATCCTAACACACAATAAAAAAAAAAGAAAACACCATTATCACTCCATTAAAAAACATTGTTAAATACTAACACATGGGATCATACAGAAAATAACTCTTCATTAAGAACATTTCACTCAGTGGCACAGACCAACACACAGCTATTTAACCAAAGAGAATTCCATCCTCCACTCACACAGCACAGATGCATTGCACTTAATTACAAACATTAAGACAAGTCCAAAGAACATCCTTCTACATCCTCTCACCTAAAGCCCTGTAAAGAATTGAAGTGTAAATATGTTCCAGTTCTCCACGTATAAAAAGTAGTACGAACAACTGTGTGGTGCTTAACCACCTGCTGGATTAAACCACAACACACAGTCTCAATTCCAATGGATAGAGCTCAGCTAGCATAAACAATGGATAAGTTTTAAGCTGCTTAACATCCACAGGGGATTTGTTTCAACTTGAGTACCTTAGTCAGCTTGGGTGATGTGGAAACCTGAATGGCCAAATTATCTACTGTGCTTGTCTAAAATTCACATTAAATAAAGCAGGACTCAAAGACTGTGGTTACACAGAAAGCAGAGTTAACTTTGTAAATGCTAATCAGCTTTGGTGTGTCTCGTGTGGTATGTACGACTGAAATCTATAAGTTCTGACAATAAAGACACCAACACTCAAATTTTACCTGCTAATGCCCAGTAGGCAGTACCCACACACTCATTCAGTAGAACAAAGGCCACCAGCGACATCCCACCATTCATCACCCCTACCAAGAATCGAGACACGGCAAAGAATTCATATGAGGGTGAGAATCCATTTGCAATGGCAAACAAGATGTCAAGGGCAAAACCTGGAAATCGAGGCAAAAGGTTTAATTTCAGAAAAACATAGTAAAATACAAGTGTTTATCAATGTCTTTGCTTGACATTCACTTGATGCCTTAAGTTATCACATTCAACAGCTACAAAACGTGGCTACATTCCACAGGTATGGGTAGAAATACAAGAACCCAAAGTCAATACCATAAAAGGAAGAACACAAGGAGTGATTTCTGATACACGATTTACAGTACTAAATCCCCAAATTCAATTCATGAAAGACAGTTTTTCAAATATTTAAAATTACTTCCTGGCTCCAGTTAAGATGGTTTCATGTTTATGTTCATACAGAAGCCCCAGGCTAAGCATATGATCAAATATCTCCCCTCATTTCTGAAAAGTACTCCATATAGACTAGTGAACCTTTATCAGAGGATAGTACATGGGAAGTTTGCACTGTATAGCAGATTCATTTTTAATCAGCTTTGAGTTAATCAGATTGTTTCTTTGAAGGAAAAGACTGCACTGTTGTTAGTTCTACATGCTCATCCATCTACAAAAAAACATACACAAAACACAAAGTTCCAAATGCTTGATTTGGGGAGAGTAAAAACAACAAAAAAACTTTGTGAATTTTAAAGTGACAATCCCAAATACAAAAAAATTAATTCATGCAGCCAAAAGATAAAAAAATTGCAGGAGGTTATATGTATAAGAACATTGCTAATGAATTATTAGAAATATTAATTACTTCTGAGCATGACAACCGTCGCTTATGCTTGTTTTGAAATGTAAGCCTATGTACTACAATTCCTAAGTTCAGAACATCTCCCTAGTTCTCAGGCAGTGATTAAATAGTAGAATACTAATTTCTTGTCCCTAGAAATATACTGGAAAGACAAATCTGTACTAAGTTCCCAGAAGAACTGGGCTCTTGCCACTCATTTTCAGAGATATGACAATTCCACTTCATTCATTTTGATTGTTTACCTGGAAAAAGATCATTACTGTTACCTGTGAGATAGATTTTCTTCCTTCCAAAGCGATCTGAGAGCTGGCCAAAGGAGATTGCTCCAACAAACACGCCACTGAAGTAGAAAGAACTGGCAGCACTGACTTTGTATGATGTGTTGCCAATTAAAAACCACTGGATGGAGACAAAAAAGGAGAATTAAACAGAGTCAAAGTGGTTCATCAACAGCTAATAGTTGGAAAGGGGTGAAACATACTTTCAGGAAGATAAAACTGCCTAAATCTCCTAGGCATCCCAGTCAGTCTGTCATCACACAGCCACTGAAACAAGTGCTTTCTTCCAGATTCTTTGGAGGCATAGTAACCAATTGCACAGATCCCCAGATCAAGTACAGTCTTTGATTCTGAACTCAAGAATAGATACCTCATGGGATATTGTAATTTTGCAGCCTTTGTCCTGTCTCTCACTTTTCTTGCCTTTTCTCACATAAAAACAATGAGCTTAAATATATTCAGTCCTATCTCTTGGCATTTATCACTGAAGTGTGTAGGAACACTACACAAAATTAAGTGTTGTGATTTATGTCCAGAAATATTTCTCTCTTCCTTATGAACCATCTTGTCACTGAGAAACACTGTGCTAGTTTTTGACAAGTTTTCTGGTACTGCTCATCCTTCGATTTATTTTTACAGTCCTCTTTGTGCAACTTCCAATTCTTCTCTATTCCAAATACACACCTGATCTTCAGATGTTCTTACAGACCCAATGTTGTCTCAGAAAGGATCAGCCTGGCAGAGAAAATTCTCTCTCCTACAAAACTCCAGAGTTAAATTATATTATGTTCTTACTGTTGAAAATTTATTTCCTTTTTTATTCTAAAAATTTCACATATGGTGTTCTTTTCTTTTTCTTCTCCTCTTTTGCCTAGAAATAATGTTTTCTTTCAGTGATACCCAGTTTTCCTTCCTGGTCAGGTAAGCTGGTGATTATGTCATTATCCCTGTAATAACAATCTAATCCTCTTTTCATAATCTCTTCCCCTACCAAAACCCTATTAGATATCCACTCTAGCCAGTCTTACATTATTACACATCTCAGCTATAAACCCCACCATGAAAAGAGAACTGTGCAATTAAGCCTCACCAAGATTATGGAGCTAACAAAATATAATCACACAGAAGCTCCAAGAAAATAACTTGCTTACTCTCAGTACACGCTTCATCAAATTGTCACTTAAATGATGAAGCTTTTACTGACATGATCAGCAGTAGGGTGTCAGGACTCTGACAAGATTATCTTCTGAAACTAACCATGAGACCACAAATCAGCTTGTCTAGATTTAGAAAAATAATTCACAATAAAGTATATCTTTATAATAATAGCATATGATGAGATTACACTTAACTTGAAATAACATGGACAGTTGATTTTATAAGAGCTACAAGAATAATTCCCCAATTTTGGTAGAAGTGTTGAAAAAAATAAACAACGTGATCTCAGTGACATTAAATTCTCTCTGAATCATTCAGAGATCAAAGCATAATTTGATTGTGGTGAAGTAAAATTTGTTCAGATGTGTTCTGCAGGTTAATCTCAATGACTAAGATGACCTTTAAAGGACTTGAGATTTCTCTTCTATAGAGAGGATAACACATTTTTTGACATCAGATTTCTCATTGCAAGTTTGCAATAGTCACATAATTAGTAAATGATACCACAAGGTAAACATTAAAAATATCCTCCTGAAGTGTTGAAAAAAAAATTCTCTACACATCAGGAGAGAGACTGCAGAGTGATCAAAAGCCCCCAAAATAAGATCAAGTAGTTTTTGAAGAAATGCACTGAGATCTTTATAATTAACCCCATTTTCAATTATATGATACATGCAATTAAAGTTCCAAAGAAAGTTTATCTCAGGAAGCAACAGGATTTTTATATATGTGGTTCTTTACTGAAAAGTTCAGACTCTACTTTGAAATTCTTTAACGTACAAGATACCTTCACATTTATTTTTTAATGTTGTACTTTTTAAGTTAACTATGTTCTTTACCCACATTTTTTACCTGTGCAGCTAAGATGCACAAGAATCTTCAAAAAATTTACATCCTAAGGCACTGCTTGGCTCCAAAAGCCTGACTTGTCAAGATTAAGAGAATAAACAATTACTGGAGAAACTGAAAATCAAAAAAATGAAAAGTTCAGACAAAATTTGAAGAACTGACAATTGGCTTTAAGTTATGCTCAAAGAAGCCACTGTCCATTAGGATTTTAAATTTCAATAGAGGCATAAGCACTCATCCCCTTTATTATCAGAATAAGGAGCAGTACACATTGTACACAATTGCTTGGTACTGTTCCAATACTGGCAGTTATTAATACGCTCATAACCAATAAAATTAATTACTTTATGGAACTAATTTGAATAGCATTAACACATTTGGACAACAGCCACGAATTATCAAGCAATGCTATGTTGAACTCAGCTGTACAAAACTAAATTCAAACCTTACTCAGATAGGGCTCTTGCACTGAAGAACAACATTAATAGATATTGTAGGCCTCAGCAATGGCAGGTGATGCACGGCATGAAAACTGGAATCATTCCTCTAGAGACAGTGGCCGTACCATGAAAGAGACACTTATAAAAACATAGAGGCCACAGTGACAAAGCTGAAGATTGTTTTGGGATAAAACAAATGAGGTTACTTCATACATCTTGCTCTTCATCACCCGTGCACTCCATGAAATTGTAAAGAAACAGCAGGAAGCTGCTTTCTCTCTAGTTCCTTCACTTCTGGCTAATAACAGGATGGATTCACTACATGCACCTGTCTTACCAAGAAAATTGCAGAAGGCAGATAGAAAGAGCTTAAGGCACATACAAGATTTTAAACACATTTAGTACAATAACATGATCCTAGCCCAGTGGTGGAACCAGGCTATCTGATCCAATACCAACCTTCTACATGCAAAAGGTGGGCAGTTTTGATGCAGAATGTTGGTTGAAATTTGCACTGCAAAATATGGGTTCTGCAGGTACCAGTTATGATAGAAATAGGTTACTTGTTCTCTACCTGGAAAAAGCACCTGCTTCATTTGCTAATCAAAACATGAATTAGTACAGGAGAAAGAATCAGCAGCACCATCAGCTTTCCTCCCCATTCTGCCATTGAGATTTACTGCTCACACACAGGGCAGCAAAACCCATTTCAGACTTACCTCAGAGACTATTGATGTGAAGCTGCTGCTGAAGTGTACGTGCTTATGAACTTCACTGCCATTGGCAGTGAGAAGCCATTCCCCAAAGGCTCTCTGCTCACTCGCTGACTGGTTGCTATGGCTCTGGTTAGCAGAGAGCAATTCCAGATCCCAGTGGTACGGAGGAGTTGCCCCCACCAATGCAATGAGGATGGCTTCAGTGGCCACATAGAGCTGGAAAGAGAAAAACATTAAAGATGGTAAACATACGTGCAAGTAGTGCTTCCCTTACAGTTGGATCAATTCAGCATTTAAATAATCCTATTTTACATTTTCCTTCTGCCACCACAGCATGTTACATACAATCCCCATCTATTCAACATCACAAAGCAGAAAACTAAAACTTCAACAAAACAGTTCTTGCATTTCTTATTTGTGGACTATTTGAGAGAAAGGAAGTTCCCCTTCAGTCAGAAACCAACCCCAAATGCCATACACAGCAAGTACAGCACTTGGATACTTAGAGTTGTTAATCAAAGAATGGCTTGGAAGGGACCTCAAGGACCATCAAGTTCCAACCCCCCTTATAAAGGCAGGGTTGCCAGCCCCCAGATCAAGTACTAGATCAGATTGCCCAGGGCCCCCATCCTCCAGGGATGGGACATCCACAACCTCTCTAGAAAGCCTGTTCAGTATCTCACCTCTCTCAGTAAAAACCTTCCCCTGGCATCTAACAAATCTTGTTTCACTTAGTTTAAAACCATTCCCCCTTGTCATATCATTATCTACCCTTGATTTTCCTCACATTCGTAAACTCCCTTTAAATGTTGTGGAGAGACCTCATTTTGGCTTTCCAACCTTTTCCTTTCCAGGCTAACCAAGCCCAGTTCCTTCAGCCCTTCGATCATCTTTGTGGCCCTCCTATGGACCTTTTCCAAAAGCTCCAAATCTTTACTGTTAGCAGCCTCCTCCAGATGTGATCTCACAATAACAGAGTAGAGGGGGGGATAATTGCCTCATTTGCCCTGCAGGCCACCCCTTTTCTGACGGAACTCAGGATACCATCGGCCTACCAAGCTGCAAGCACACACTGCTGGCTCATGTTAAGTTGGACATCAACCAGGACCACTAGGCTCTTCTCAGCAGGGCTACTCTCAAGTTCTTCTTCTCCCAGTTTGTATACATATCTGCAATTACCTCAACCAAAATGCAAAAGCTCGTACTTTGCTTTGTTGAGCCTCATTAGGTTCACAAGGGCTGACTTTTTGAGTTTATCAAGGTCCCTCTGGATGGCAGCCCTTCCTTCTGCTGTATCAACCACACCGCTCAGCTTGGTGTCATCAGCAAACTTACTGAGGGTGCACTCAGTCTGATCATCACTCATTACCAGCATCTACCTGGACACAGAGCCATTGATCACAACCCACTGACTGTGGTCTTCCAAACCAATTCCTTATCAGCTGAATAGTCCACCCTTCAAATGCACATCTTTCCAATTCAGAGATAAGGATGTGGTAGGGGGCCACGTCAAAGGTCTTGCAGAAGTTCAGGTAGATGACATCAGTTGCCTTCCTTTGTCCACTGATGCCATCACTCCATCATAGAAAGCCACCAGATTGGTCAGGCATGATCTTCGCTTGGTGAAGCCATGCTGGCTGTCTTGGATCACCCACTCATCCCTCATGTTCCCATCTAGAGGTTCAGAGATGCAAGAATACTGGTTGCCAGTGAAGACCAAGGTAAAGAACTCACTGAATATCTCAGCCTTCCCCATATCTGTTGTAGGCATTTCTCATACCTGGAGAATCCCTTCTTGTTGTTTTTAACATCTCACCAAGTTCAGTTCCATCTGTGCTTTAGCTTTCCTAATCCCATCTCTGTAAGTTCAGACAGCATCTCTGTATTCTTCTCAGGTGATACACTGATGCTTTCACTATCTGTACTTGACCATTTCCTTCAGTTTGACCAGCAGGTCCTTGCCAAGCCATTCTGGTTTCCTGCCTCCCCTGTTTTTTTTTTTTTGTTTGTTTGGTTTTTGTTTTTGTTTTTTTACACTGAGGGATGGAGAGCTCTTGCACTCCCAGAAAGGCATCCTTAAATAGCAGCCAGTTTTGTTCCACTTCTTTGTCTCTAAGGACTTCTTCCCAGGAGACTTCATCCAACAATTTCAACAGCGTGAAGTTCACTCTCCTGAAGTTCAGGGTCCTGACTCCACTCTTTGCCAGGCCTGTGTTCCCTGAGATCACAAACTCAATCAAGTCATGTTCTCTGCAGCCCAGGCTGCCTCTGATCTTAATATCTTTAATAATCTCCTCCACATTGGCAAGCACCAGGTCTGCAGTGCTTCACCTCCGGTTTATTTGCCCAATACTTGAACCAGAAAGTTATCAATGGACTCCAGGAGTCTCTTGGAGCACTTAAAGCTCACGGTGCTGCCTTGTCAGCAGAAATCCAGTTATCAGATCAATGTCTTTAATGCAAGTACATTATATGGTTTTATTTTCCCCTTTTACCTGTGTTATTCATTCCTTTAATTTGATGTTCAGAATACATCTCAATTTCATATTCCCACTTACACCAATTTTTTTCTGTTAACATGTTCCACTCTTAAAAAGAGACAAAGGCACATGTGAATATACAAATAGTTTTAATATTTATACACCCACTCAAGGCCTACATACAGTAACTAATAGCTAGTTTTGTTTAAGGAAAAGAATAAATAAAAGCACTGGAATGCCAGATGGTTCAAACATGGCACAGAGCAGGGCACTTGGTGCATACCCAGAAGAACAGCCACAGGTCACTGCTTTAACAATCTCTAGACCATTACAACTTCATCTTAAAATCCAATGTTTTAGACCTCTCTGAACACAGGTAACACAACTCAGGAGCTCCTGACACAACAGGATCCTGTTGCTTTTCCTGCCGATTACTTTTTCCACGAAGAAAAACTGTCATGCTACTCCATTCCACAAACTTTCTTTCAACCACCTCCTTCCGAACAGGCCTTGCTCTGTTCCCAGCACATTGGTGTGTTCCTGGAAAGAGCATCCCCCTTGGGAATGCAGTCTCCAACAAGGATGCTGTATAAGTAATACACAGAACATGGATAGACACAAAAAATTGCCAAGAACTCCTGAATTCTGATGTAAGCAACAACAGGTGATCCTATTCTGCTCAGTACAGAGGAACAGCTGGAGTTACACCCCAGTCTGAACCAGAATTACTACTGGTAATAAATTTAATTTATTAAATTTAATAAAGACAACACTGGGTTATTACATCTAGAAGAAAAAAAACTACCTGTTAAATTACATTATTTAAGATAAAAAACAACTTCCAGGCAGATAACCATGAGAACTGAAAGACCTCATCCAAGAAACACTGCCAGCAGGGCAGTGAGTAAGATTAGATGAGGAAGGGGGTCATGAAAAAGCTGGATGAACATGTTGTTAGGGACATGTGGACACGGTACCCTCAAGCCCTCAGGAACAGTTCGAAATCAGTGAAAACTGAGAATTATAGGTCACTGCCTCTGGTGCATCCCTGTGCTTTGACTCACACAGGCAGTACCGGGTCAGGACTATGCGATAACAACCTTGGTCTTGTGAAATGATAAACATTTTTTAAGTAGCTCAGGAAATGAAATCCTCAAGGCATTCGGTTTAGGGAATGAAAGCAGGATGCTCTTCATTCTTTGCTCCAAGTGAAGCTCAACCCATACAAAACATGAAATTGGAAAATAAATGATTGCAGGCACACAAAGAAATACAACAAATATTATTTTAAAATAAAAAATTCAGCCATAAGCAAGCAAGAAGAGAACAGAAACACTTCCAATGAATATGCCAAATAAGAAAAACAGACAAAGATGTTGACATGCTGAGTAAAGAAAAATAGTATTTGATAAGATGTACGCCAAAGTCACTGCTGTGACAAGACTTTTTCCAAGTGATCATTTGCCTTTTACTTTGGCTAACAGGTGTGGTAAATCCTCTTAATTTTGTTGCAAAACAAACAAACAGGGTGTTTTTTTGTTTTAAACTCTAAATAGAAGTGAATGAAATTATAAACAGGAAGGGGATATAAACAGGAAGGGAATGGCTGTTTATAAGGGTGGATAGTGATAGGACAAGGGAGAATTGATTTAAACTGAGACAGGGGAGGTTTAAGTTAGATATTAGGAGGAAGTTTTCCACACAGAGGTGGTGACACACTGGAACAGGTTGCCCAAGGAGGCTGTGGATGCCCCATCCCTGGAGGCATTCAAGGCCAGGCTGGATGTGGCTCTGGGCAGCCTGGTCTGGTGGTTGGTGACCCTGCACATAGCAGGGGGGTTGGAACTAGATGATCATTGTGGTCCTTTTCAACCCAGGCCTTTCTATGATTCTATGAAATTTCTTGACCAGCTTTCTCAATATTCATGGATTCCAAGAAAAAAAAAAAACACCATAGAATCTAATCTAACTAGGGGGAAGAAAGTTTAAATAGTTTCTCTCCTGAATGAACACACATAAAATCATTTAAGAAGCCTTTTAAATTTAATTCCTCCATTATGAAGTACAAATGAAGGAGAAAAAGAAAAAGTCTTATTCTATTAAGAAGTGCTTTCAAAATTTTTAGCAGCTCATCAGCAGTTCACAACCAAGATAGTCACTCTAGACATTTAGCATTCACAAAATTGAGTCAACCACCAGTTTCTGACCTTCCAAACACAGAAACATAGAAACTGCATCTTCAACGAAAGACAACAAATGACCTTGGTAAAAGCCCATGACAAAGAGAGAGCTACATTTTCAGCTTAAAGTCATTTCTCCTGACCACAGTACAAGCAGATGAAATGCTAGAGGCCACCTTATTTTTGCAAGTCTGATGAACTCATCTGCTCTGAGTTATTCCAAAAGGGCAATCTGCCTATTAAGCCACATGATTTCTATTCCTATTTTTTTCCCCTAAACAACTGTGTGCGTGTGCCTGCAGTAGGGCCCTAAAAGCATCTTCTTGTTGCAAAGTTATTTTCTGATGCTGGCAAAGTGTTCTTCGATGAAAGTAGTGCTCCCTTCTTGGGAGCACAGTGGGAGAAAACCCCACATAATGGAAGAGGCTATGTTGCACCTAGAAAGTCAAGAAAAGCCAGGCACATGAAAACAGTGTAATAACCCAGACACTTGATAAACCCATCCCACTCCAAAAGCAAATACTGCTCAAGAATACTGTAACTGTTGATGGCTATT